GGCTGGGGATTCGAACCTGCCACCTTAGTTGTACGTGGCTGGCGCCTTAGCCGGTTGAGCTATAGGCGCCAAGCCCGTTGAGCCTTTTTTAATAGTTTTTAAGATGTTTAAAAAGACCACACTTGGCTCAGCATCCATAGCTCAGTGAGTAGAGCGCCAGCCACTTAAAACAAGGGTGGCGGGTTTGAGCCCAGCCCAGGCCTGCTAAACAATAGTGACAATTGCAACCAAAAAAGTAGCCGGGCGTTGTGGCAGATGCCTATGGTCCCAGCTACTTGGGAGGCTGAGGGAAGAGAATCACTTTAAAAAGCCCAAGAGTTTGAGGTTGCTGTGAGCTGTGACACCATGGCACTCTTCTGAGGATGACATAGTGAGACTCTGTCTCAAAAAAATAAATTAATAAAAATAAAAAGACCACACAAAGCTGAGTATAAGTGGCTCATGACTGTAATCCCAGCACTCTGGGAGACTGAGGTAGGTAGATCACTTGAGTTCATGAACCCTATCTCTACTAAAAATAGAAAAACTGAGGCAGGAGGATCTCTTGAACCCAGGAGTTTGAGGTTGCTGTGAGCTATGATGACACCACAGCACTCCACCCAGGGTGACAGAGTGAGACTCTGTCTCAAAAAAATAAAAGTCCACACAAATGTGTGTGGCTGGTGACTCTGTGTTTTTTAATCTAGAAGTTCCTCCCCCCTGTTTTTGCATTCCTTTGTTGGGCCCCCTGGCCATGGGGTGGGGACTTGTGGGCAGGTAGCTGTAGTGACCGGGCAAGGGGACTGGTGGTAAAAGGTGGGGTTCCTTGGAGATGGGTTTCCTGCCAAGCGCTGACTTTAAGAGGAGGCGGTCGTCATGGTGTTCACCTAGGGGTATACTAGGGGTCATGGAGGACATGAAGAAGGTGGTGCCAGAGGTGGGTATTTTTTTTATTTTTTTGAGACAGAGTCTCACTATGTCGCCCTTGGTAAGATGCTGTAGCATCACAGCTCACAGCAACCTCAAATTCTTGGGCTTAAGCGATTCTCTTGCCTCAGCCTCCCAAGTAGCTGGGACTATAGGTGCCCACCACAATTTTTTGTTTTTTGCAGTTTTTGGCTGGGGCCGTGTTTAAACCCATCGCCTCCAGTATATGGGGCCAGCGCTCTATTCTTTGAGCCACAGGTGCCGCCCTATTTTTGCCGGGGGTGGGGGGTGTTCAGTTGTCATTGCTGTCCAGCTGGCCCGGGTCAGGCTTGAACCTGCCACCTTTGGTGTATGTGGCTAGCACCCTACTCACTGAGCTATGGGCACTGAGTCCAGAGTTGGGTCTTGCAGGATGACTAGGAGTCTTTTTTTTTTTTTTTTTTTT